CCTAGTTGGGGTGCAGGTACGGCAGATAGTGTAGAACCTTCAGGCGGACTACTTAAATTAGGCACTCAAAAGGTGCATATGTGGCTTGATATACTATTGTTGTAATTGCATATAAAACACCATTTCAAATTCTAATAAAAGCTTTCAGGCCAAAGAGGTCTCCTTAACCAAAAAAAAAAATCAATTATAGGATTTAAATATGTTAATTTAGATAAATTACTATAATTATTATAATGATCAAGATGTTTTAAAAGAATTCTTTCATCTTTGTGTTTTAAATTTTTTTCTGAGAAGTCTTTATCAAAGGTGTAGAAAAGTAAAGTCCATATTACAAAGCTTGTAAAGAAATTTGGATTCGCTTCAGATATTTTTGTCTGAGAAATTATGCTAAATAATTGTATATTTGAAGGACTCTTATAAACAAGTTTAATACAACTATTACATAATCTTTGTAACAAAAATTCTTATTCATTATTAATAATAGCATTTATAAGGTTTTCTCCATAAAGCTTTAAAAAAAATTATCATCAATATGCTTTTTAATTAGTTCTTCAAAAAAAAACAACGTTTTATTATTATTAACATATTATGTAAAAGAAATGGTATAATAATAACCTAATATATGGTCATAAGATAGTGCTGGAAGAAAATAACTCATAGTGAGATCTTTTTTTAAAATATCTATAATTTCTTTGTCATCATATTTTTTATCAGATTTCTAAAAATAAATCAACTGTATTCCCATTTCTTCACTAAATGTCCAAATAAACACTCTTATTTGTGTAACCATGACTAAATCATCATTATCAAGACAATCACATCTATTTATAAAGTCAAATTCATTATCTTCACTAAAATAGCTATAATAAGAACTATAATTAGGAAGTACATCTATTTTAGAGCATTTTTTTTTCTGCTTTAAAAGATTCTGTCATAAGAGATTCTGCTATAAAAATAATTCTTTTTCTTTTATACTCTTCTTCATACTTCAAATTTAAAGTCCACTTGACAAGATATTTTCCATACTCATATGTTTTATTTGTATTATTTATTATTTCTACATCTGATTGCTCAAGCATCTTTATAAGTTTACTTCTAACTGAAAAGATTTTGTTGGAATCTTTCAATGTATTTTTTAAATAGTCAATCCAATTTCTTTTATCTTGTACTAATTTCTTAATTACCAAATTTTGATTTATTCGGCTTTTCATTATAATTTTATCAGATTTTATAATGTATGCTCGGTGATAATAGTTTTCTTGTTTAATTAAATTCTTAGAATCAATAAGATTGTTGTTCTTATAATCAATAAGATTGTTGGCATTTATAGCTTCTAAATCTGAATCGGTAAATAGATCTCTTAACACAAAGCTAACATTTTCTTGATCTTGAAATATTATAAGAAATGCATAAATTTTCTTAGTATATTTATCTTAATAATGATAATAATAAAGTAATTAGCAATTTAAAATTAATTTTCAATTAAATTTACTGAAACCTTACATGTTAAAAACTTTATTCCATTTTGAGTCAAATAAACATCTATGCATGAAGAAATTTCCCCACTTTTGTTGTATTTTACTTTATATACAAATAATAATATTTTATCATTACTTAATTTTACATGTTGAACATTATAATAAGGATTACATAAAAAGTGTGCTTCAAATGTTAAAGTTTTAATATCCCATTTTGTAATTGTTCCTATATACCAATTAGTTATAAGTAGTTTTCCTTTAGTTGTTATGAAAACAATAGTAGTATCAGGATCTGATTCCAATTTTATCATAAATTTATGAGTCAACTTGGAGTCATTTTCTTGAGTAAAGACATGTGCCTTATATAGAGTTTGATTGACTATAATTAAATTGCCATTCTCTAAAAAAGATAGACAATCAAGCAAAATTTCAGAATTCGGAATGCTTAGCATATGCTGTTTCTTATTTCCAAAATTATAAATTCCTTAAAGAAATTTGTAAAAGGATAAAATTCTACTTTAGAATAGTCAATTAAAATGACATAAATTTATAGAGTTTCTGTACTCTTAATTATTAGTAAGAATAAGTGTGTTTTTTTTTTTTTTTTTTTTTTTTTTTTTTTTTTTTTTATTAATATAATGTCATAGTAGAAACTTTATTACAGTCAGTCCGAAGATTGAA